CTAGAGCTTCTCGTTGAGTTTGGGAATACCCACGTTCGGCAGCCGTGAGTTTGCGTGATATGCACAGCACCGGATGACCATCTGCTCCAACACAGCTCCAATTCCAGCGGGCGATGCGTCCGTGATGACGGTAGAATGTAATCGTGGGGGAAAAGGACGTAAAACAGCACTAGTAGATGAAAAGGAAAGTAAATTCCTCAAGGCATGTTCATGGACCGAACTCCACCGAAATGTTTGCTGTGAATGTCAACCGAACAATGGAGCAGCTTGGGTTGAAAAGTTAGGAATAAACTTGGAATAGTATTGTAAAGGACCAATTAAAGAACTAAAGTCACGGAATGAATTGGGAGATGGGGCATTAGTCAACGGAGAAAATCTATTAGGGTCAGGAAGAAATCCGGATTCATCAACCAAATAACCTAAACAAGAAANNNNAGAAAGTTTCGTCGCAGCAAAGGCACATTTATCAGGGTTAATAGAAACATTATGAGAACGGAATCTTTCAAGCAAAACACACAAACGTCCGTCATGTAAGTGTCTGCTAGGCGCATGAACAATAATATCGTCCTGATAGGCACATACACCGTGTAAGCCAGAGATGATGGAATTAATAGTAGTTTGAAAAATAGCGGGAGAAACACTAAGTCTAAACGGTAGAAAGTTGTAAGGAAATAAACCAAAAGGTGTGTTAATAGTCGTGACTCTTCAGCAAGAGGAATTTGAAGAAATGCATCTTTGAAGTCTAGACTAGAGAAAAGTTTGGATCCATGAAGTTGGTGCAGAATGTCTTCTGGTTCGACGGTGGCACAACTGTACTGTTTCAGGTGTCTGTTTATAGTAACTCAATAATCCCCACATGTCCTAGGAGTCTTCCCGTCACATTTGAGTGGAGTAACAATTGGCGTGGTCCTAGCCGAAGAATTTACGGGTGTCAGAACGCCCTTGCTTACCATTTCATCTAACGCCTTTTTTACGGGCTCACTTTTGCACTTTTACAGACAGATTGGATGTGGCCAAGCTTACCGCAATTGTGACACTTGGCATTTCGAAATCTACAGGATAGCCGCAAATGTCTTTGACCACAGGAATCGCACTTGTTCCATCTTTGAATCCGTTGGTCATTGTGGGCCGGAGAACTGAGGTTGCTTGGTGTTTTCGAGCCCTTTTCGAAAACCGCTTTCGTCGGGAGGGTGACTGTTTGGAATTGCTGGCACTGAACAGCAAGTTGGGTTCATCACAAATAATGGCACGGACATCTTGGTACTGTTCACAGACTGCCGTAGCCCACTGAAATGTGCAATCGCGCATGAGCAGGAGCTTTTGCTGTAATTCCGGGCAACTAATACCGGCAATTAATCGATCACGTAACTGGGTTTACAATTGATCTCCGAAATTGCAACGAGATACTTTGGTCTGAATTTGAAGAATAAAGTCACGTACATATTGGCTTCCACCACGTGTGAGTGAATGAAATTGGGCTCCTTTAGCAGCTTCAAAATTGGCCGGCTGCAGATGCTTCAGCAGTAAGGTTTTCAGGGCTTCATACGACAATGATATAGGAGAGTCAGGGAATGCCAAATTCTTTAACAATGAGTATACATCCTTTCCGATGACCGTTAGGAAATAAGCCGTTTAGCGTTCTCCATCGAGTCCTTTCCGCGTAACACACCAAATCTCGAATCTTTCAAGATAATCTTCGACTTCGCGTGCACTGGCATGTATATTAAAGTTTTCTAAATTACAGGACTCCATTGGTTCAAAATTACCGCGACGCAAGTTGTTGTGGTTTGTACTCAGACTAGTATTTTGTATACTTATTGGATTCCGTGCCGTAATAGTCCGACCCAGAACTAGGACTCAAAATGAAATCAGAAGACAGAACTCAGAGGTGGAATGGAATTGTACTAAGCGGAAATTTGGAATATACAAGGATACCGTGTTCAATAAAACAAAAGAGTTCATAGCTCATGAGCAATCACCACCTCAGCCGCAGCTTGAATGAAGCATTGGTTTTCTGTAATCACGGCGGGCTTCATTGAGTAACCGTTCACATCTTCTGGGTTCTTCTGTACTGTTTTCGACATTTGTACTGGGACGTAATTCCTCTGGAAAAGACTCAGAAATAAAAGGATTAGTAGGTTCACAACTAATATCAGGATTAGGCAAATTACAAATTACTTGATCTACATGTCTGCAATGTACAGTTCCATCGTCTAGATCCAATATGCGACATACTCTTTGTCCCATATTGTCCAGTACAATGCCACTGGAAGGTCGTAAATCGTTATCACTATGATACACTACTTCCGCAGACTCCACGTGTAGATGGCTTTTTCGAAGTACTCGACTCTTAAACAGCTTTGCTGGACTGTGTCCAGAAGTTGAATGTACTGCGTTACGGTATTGCATCATGAAAGCGATGAAAGAAAACTTGATTCAAACGATTAAATCCAATGTGTGACGTAAAATTTGATAAATTGTTCACTGGAGCACAAAACTTTAGCANCAGGTTACCCGCCGGCGTCCCATGCCTAATAACCTTTGAAGTCTTGAAGTCTTGAAGTGACTCTCGGGTTCGAGGCTGGCACCCAATGGTCCCGGATCCTAGATGGTTTCTTGTTTTCTGTTCTTGCAAGATGCAGCTGGAAAATCAGAGAAAACTGGAGGGGCAATATATCTTCTTGCCCAGGGACTAGCGGTGCTAGTAATTCTGGCAACCTTAATAATAAACGTAACAATCAGCTATAGTAAGTGGGCAGACATAGAATACCTAAAAAGGGCTACAGTAAAATAAATAATGAACAAAAATAAAACATTTTTTTGAATACACATATATATAGCTTTTCAAAGGACTCAGGAGGAGGTAACTAGACCTAGAAACTTATCAAGTCGAGACTTGAATGACGCTTTGCTTGTTGAAGAGACTATCTCTTCTGGCAATGCGTTCCATTGCGAAATTGCCCTGATGGTAAAGAAGGATGTGCGAAGTGTGGTTCGAGGTTGAGGTTTGTATAGCTTTTTGCTATTGCCCCGTGTTCCACCCGTGGGGGCTAAAGTGAAGCAGTTATCTACTAGGCCCGAGGAGAACAGGTGGTGTAGAAGAAATAATTCACCTCTAATTCGCCTGAATTCCAGAGGATACAGATTAAGCTCTATTAGACGTTCACCATAGGGAAAATGTTGCATTCCAAACACCGCTTTAGTGGCTGCCATTTGAACTCGTTCAAGAGCATCACGATCACGGATCAGGCCGGANCCAAGTTCCTATAGTAGTGGCCAAGTAAAGATTTTAAGGGCAATAGACCGCCTACTCAGTAAGTTGCTAATGTTTTCTAATTTTTTTCCAAAGGGGCCATGAAAGAACTAACCTTTCAAGTCGTTGTGATTTCTGAGGAGTAAAAAAGTCTTGAACGGAAATTCAACCAGACCCTTGATCACTTGAAAAGCAGGAACGATGTTTCCGTTCTGAATTGTCGCATACCTGCGAAAACTGTATACGATCTGAACGATCTGATCAAGAAGATGGAAGACGAATCGTTTTACGGGGATCTAGTGCGTATCCATTTACTAATTATACTACATTACAGGTCAGTTACCTTTCACGTGTTGCAGCAGATTCCGTTGATCACTGTGTCCGCGCCATGTGCAGACTTCTGCTGGCCAACAGTTTGTGCTTCAGCATTAACTGGAGAGATTCCAATGACAAAACGGGATTGTGCAACACCAAAGTTGCCAAACTAATATACCGTAATGGTTATACTTTTACTAATTGATAGATAGACACCATAAGGAGGAAAGGAGTATCGGTCAGCGATTTGGATATCATCAAGGGTAAGATGCAGCGGTGGATACAGATGACAAGGCAGGCAGTCAATGAATCCGCCGACAACTGCCCTGACTCTGATCAAGGTGTCCAGTTTCCATGGTATGTATTTGATGTATTTTCATATGATAAAAGAAATAATAATGCATTATTACGTGTACTGTTTATTTGCTACATAGATTTTCAATTAATTTTGTCTAAAAAACGTGTCATTGGTCTTTTTTGCATTGCTTTTCGTTAGATTCCTTACTTTAATAATTATTCCGTTTGTTTTGAAACGTAAGTGATTTTTATTCTTTCTTTGCGTTTTCAGATGTAAATGACCAAGGAACAATAAGTTTCCTTCTGGAATCCGTTTCTACAAATACAACTGTATCATAAAAGGTACTTTTCGTTTCGTCTTTAGTTCCTTTTTACTCTATGGGTGTTTCTTGGCGAATAGAGACGCTGAATATTGTTCCTATCGAGATTTGACCTCGAGCTCTACGTTTAGCCGCGTCACAATGGAAACACTAAGGTATAGTGGTGAAATATTCCTAGAATAATTGCGCGATTAAGGTTATAAAAACGTGTGGAGCAACAGATAGTGGGAAAAGGTCGGGTTAGACTGCACGATTTGATCTCTAGGATATTTGACTTCGATCGGTCTCTGGGTTTTAAAGGGCAAGGATTTCGAAATTAGTGGGCCTACATAGTTCAATGAAATGTGGTTAGTGGTTTTCCCGTGAAAATAACATTGAGAAAGTACAATGATTACCTGCCAAATTTTTTTTCGACAGTCACCAATTTGTTTCGATGGGTACTAATCGGTGACTAATCGGTGACTCTCACGTGACAAAACGGTGCTTTTTGGTAACTAAGCGGTGANAAACGGTGCTTTTTGGTAACTAAGCGGTGACGCTCGTGCTGACTGGGGTTTGGATAGAGACTATTTACTACGAAATCGAGGCGGTGGTCTAATAACCTACAACAAATCGTCTTCTTGTAATTCTACAAAGATTATCTTCACTTACAACGTAGGATATATCCCATGTCTTTCGGTTGAATGTAAACCCCGTTTTCTTAGTAAATATCGTTCCATTGTGACAACAAACACTTACATAGCACCTTCCAATGCAACTTCTACTGCACAGACATTTGCTGATGTATTATTATCCGAACTTTCTAACTACACTGAAGGCTCTCTTTTTATTGTCAGTAGCGATTTCAACCATGCAGATATTCATTTCTTGACATGTCTCTCTCTCTACAATATTGTAAATTTCTCCACAAGAGGAAACGCGCGGCTTGATCTTATGTTTTCGAACGATCCGGACTTGTTTGCTGTGCTGGCAAACTCCGATCATTGTTTCATCAACGTTTTACCAAAAGACTATTCAAAGAAACATCATAGCACACTGACACGTACATTTAGCCAGAAGATTTTTCATAGGTTGTGTGACCCGGTCCACTTGGTATTACTGAGAGAAATGGTCCCTGGTACAAATTTCGATCAGTTCTTTGATCACAGTGTCCCGATCGAAAGTGAACATCTCACGAGCTATATGAACTTGTGCTTTGACATCTGCTGCTCCATAGCTCCTATATACATCAGTTCCACCAGATTTTCTTCTCCCACTTTAAAGATCCTCAGAAGATCCAAGGAATGACCATCTAAAAATCGCGATCGACCTTTAGTTAAACGAACGTCAGTGCAGATCAAGAATGAGATCCAAAATCTTGATAAACTCTCCACTGAAACCCTTTTTGGAGACCGTAATTGCAAGCAAGTCTGGAGCGCTATGAAAAAACTTTGTGGAACAAAAGTCAGACTACGCGGGCCCCAACCCACAGCAGATGAACTCAACTGTGTTTTCCACGTCGACTGAAACTGAAGTATCGCATCCTTATTTCCAATCATTTGACCATCGTGAAATTTCACGCGTCAATTCTAATCAGGTGTATGCACAGCTGAAGTGCCTAAAAATATCAAAGCTTCGGGTCCTGACGGGCTGTGTCCAACCGTCCTCAGGGAATGTGCGCATTATCTGGCGGAGCCACTTGCCGGCATTTTCAACCGCTGCTTTGAGGAACAAAAAATTGTCGAATACTGGAGACCTGTGCGCATTACACCGGTCCCCAAAAAAGAAGCTGGCAAACTACGACCAATCGCCTGCACTTATACTTTACTAAAAGGTTTCGAAACGTTTAAGCTCAGTAACATTATTCCCAATACTGGGCAGCTAGAAGAAAACCAATTCGCTTATCGCAAACAACGTTCTACCTTAGATGATTTGGCTCATTTGGTAAACTTACTTTTACAATCCCTAGACATGCATGGCAGGGCTTTTCGTGTGTGTTTCCTCGACTATAATTATGCTTTTAACTGTGTTGACAGAAACAGGCTTTTGTCTCTACTCCAAGGTGCTGCACTGTCTAATAATATCCTCTCCCTACTCCAAGATTATTTTGCTGGTAGAATTCACAAGGTTTCTTGGAAAAACCTCTGACTCCCTAACAGTCAACTCCGGGGTGCTCTAGGGAGCAATTTTGTCCCCTTTTCTTTTCACTTTCTATATTCGTGACCTTCCCATCAACCCAAATGATCTTATTATGAAGTATGCTGATTATGTCACAATTGGTTCCCAATTCCAAGGTGGTTTCGGCTTCTGACATCTTCAAACTAGTTTATGCGCCTTAAACGTATGGTCTTCATCTTCCAAGTTATCTCTCAATGCATCTAAATGTAGCGATGTCAGCTTTTCGCTCGCCAAAGGAGAACGGCTACATTCTTTTGAAAAAAATTGTTCTGTACTCTATGTTCACTACTAGCCTGTTTCCTCAGTAAACTCTCTACAATACCTCGGCGTCACTATCTGCCGAGATCTCACCTGTACCTCACAATTAACTTCTACTTTTGTAAGCATTCGACGGTTCTGTTTCTTTATAAGCCACTTGCGTTTTTTTGAAAGTTCCATTGTATTTACTAACCCCATTTGGTATATTCTTGTGTTGTTTATCATGTTCTCCTCTGCTCCTCAGTTTTATTTGCCGGTCTAAGAGCTAAGGATTACACAATTCCACGCCGGTCTATTGAAATTATTTCTCGCATAAGCGGTATTCACTATTTGCACTTGCCTAACTTTATCGCTCATAAACATTTTACCTCTTGTGATAACTTCTGTAACAATATTTTATCAGACACCACTCACCCATTACACACAGAACATAGAGAATGCATATCCACTTCTGTCACAAGATGTCGTTATAAACTGGGGTATGCTCGTACCACTGCCTATCGTTTGTCCGTCATCCCCTATCTTTCGAGATTTCTGACACAAAAGACATCCGTTAGAGAACACGTTTTGAAATTCCTGCGCAACTGATATTCATTTTCGAACTTTGTAGTGACTCCGTTTCGTCACTCGTGTTTTACGTCACGTTTTTTTGTTTTACTGA